TCACATGGCCATGAAGCTCATTGCGTGCCCTTGAGTCAGTCACTGCCTCTCAGCCTAATTTACCTCACAGGGTTGTTGTGGGGATTCAGTGAGGAGGGGGAGAAGCATGTATGCCACACTGACCTCCTTGGAGGAAAAGGTGGGCTATAAACACAATAAGAAATTCAAAATCCATGTGCCACAATCATTTTGTAATGTATGGCTAAGACCTAAAGGTAAAGCTTCCCCAGAATTCTCTCCTTGTGCATCATGTAATTATAAGAATCAAATAAAGACGAAATGAGATCCTGGGAGATATGAGAGAATGGGAAATGTAAGGTTTCTAAACTCTGCAAGACTTTTTGCATGTTAATAATGAGATCATTTCATTTGAACAACTAAGAGAGAGACCTTTTGTTCCTCAAAGGTTTAAGTATTTTCAGATAAGGCAACCCATACATTCTTTAAAAAGAAAGTATGGAGCCTTTGGAAGTTGTAAAAAATGAAAATTATAATAAATGAGCCAGTTGGAAAAGGAAAGGTGGGTACAGTCTGTAGACTATATTCATTACTGGCTTTGGTTTAAAGATAGGAAAATGTGAACTCAAGTTATTTTTTCCCCATATATACATATTTATGTGTGTGTATGGGGGTTTTTGTAATAAATGTTAGTAACAGATAAAATAAATAAATGGGGGTGTCTTAATTGCTTAGAACATCTTTTTACTCAGTATGTGAACTTTGTGTGAAGTACCATGCCCACAAAACCAGCTCATTTGTAAGTTTCAGTTGGTTTTCTTGGGATGCATTTTGCCTCAGGTACTTTTTGTTTTTGTAAATGGTAAGTCACTGAAATTTAGGAACAGTGTTTCCTACTGCAGAGGAACCAATAAATGAGAACTGTGTTGTAGTAGGTCTACTTCTGTGTAAGTTCTGCCATGAAAAATGCAGCCAGGGTGGATTACAACCTTGTGCAACTATCTACCATCCAATCTGAATAGTCTTCCTTTAATGGGAAAAAGCTCTAATAACTGACTGGGCAGACTAAACTGATCCTCCAGTCCACTAAAGATTCCTTAACAGCACAATCCAATGCATGTGTCTACTTAAAAGTAAACCTTATTGAATTCCACAGGACTTACTTCCAGGTAAGCAGGCACAGGGCTACAGCTTCATGCATGGAGTAGGAGACTTCACTGCCTAATGTTTGGGGAGCAATTGTGTATCTGATATGATATGGCACTGAATCCAGCCTTCACACATAATTCTTCATCTGGGTTGCTTGAACCATCATCTTTGAAAGTTAAGCAAACTGTGCTTCTTCTGCCTGTGTACACATGAGGCTGGCTCATGTCAGACTACTGAACCCTTGAAGCCAGTTGCATATTCTGAGTCACATCAACTTTCAGGCACAAGTCCTTCCCATTCATTCCCAACATCCTTTTAATTGGGGAGATGCCAGGGATCAGCCCTGCAACTCCTCAGTGTCTGCTCAGCCCCTGAGCTAAAGCCCCACCCTTCTAGATGAGCTTCTCAGATTAAATGTGTGGAAGAGCATTTTGATGAGGACAATGTAGTGCGGATGTGACGGAAAAGTTCCATGCACAAATGGCAATGGGGAAAGCAAACAAAATGGAATTAATTGCAACATTTCCTCCCCAACCCAGTGCTGGATGACTTGGTAAGATTCAACACTCTGTCAAGAGAGATGCCTGCATGTTTGTGCATGAAGTATATATTGCTCATGCACACTGCTGCCAAATGTCCATCAGAGGAGTGAAGCTCAGTGGCTGAGGATCTGCTTTGTATGCAGATACAGTGGTACCTCGGGCTACATACGCTTCAGGTTACAGATTCCGCTGACCCAGAAATAGTACCTCGGGTTAAGAACTTTGCTTCAGGATGAGAACAGAAATCGTGCTCTGGTGGCGCGGCAGCAGCAGGAGGCCCCATTAGCTAAAGTGGTGCTTCAGGTTAAGAACAGTTTCAGGTTAAGAACGGACCTCCGGAACGAATTAAGTACTTAACCTGAGGTACCACTGTAGTCCTAAATTCAATCCCTGGCATCACCTGGTAGGGCTGGGACAGAATCCTGCCTGAAACCCTGCAGAGGCACTGCCACTCAGTATAGATCAGGGTTTCCCAAACTTGGGTCTGCAGCTGTTTTGGGACTACAGTTTCCATCACCCCTGATCACTGGTCCTGCTAGCTAGGGATGTTGGGAGTTGTAGTCCAAAAACTGCTGGAGACCCAAATTTAGGAAACCCTGGTATAGACAATACCCAGCTAGATAGACCAATGTTCGGACTTCCTATGACAGCTGGCTGAGGATCCAAGCAGCTCTCCCACACCAAGGAAGGTCAGGTTACCAGGTACCTCTGCTGTAGAGAAGAAATGGCTGTTCTAGATGCCAGGTTTTTGCTACTATTTTAAGAGGGGATTAGTGAAGCTTGGCAGATCCCACAGAAAGAATTCTGAAATCTCACTTTGGACTTATTCCTTATTCGGCTTCCATACAGAATCTGACCGCAAAAAAACAGCAACATTGTTTCTTTATCTTTAAGCACTTTATTGAATAGTCACCATACTTTTAGTTTGAATACTGTATACAGGTTCTTTGGAACGGTTCTATCAATAACATATCAGTTCTTTGGAGAAAGCAACTGCCTTGTGGGGCTCTGCATCCCGAACCGCTAACTCTCCTGCTTCTGTGTCCCACTAACCACACAGGGGAAGGAGTCTATCTTCATGCTTTCTCATACACTCTGGTGCAGACAACGTTGTTCATTTCACACACCTAGGAGGTAACAGACAGGAGAATCAGTACATCACAGAATCCATTCTTTTCATACAAGCAACTTCAGACAAGTTGCTCAAGTGTTCAATTGTTCAAATACCGGTAAGTATTTGTTGAGGTGAAAAGTTTCAAGATTTACAAGAATGCCAAGAGTTGAGTAAGCAGTCTGACTTTAGCTAAGACAGCAGTATTATTAATTGTTTTATTACTTGCCCTTCACCAAAAGATCCCAGGACAAGTGTCAGCATTAAAAAACCACAGTAAGAAACCCCAAACCCATAACCTTAAAATCATAATCCATAACACACATTACAGGTAGAATACCAAACTCAGTTCTTAATGGCACAGGTAAAGAGGTTCATCTTTGGCAACCAACATTTGTTGTTAAAAGATTGTGCCAAATGCACCTCTGTGGTGAGGGAGTTCCACATTTTGAGGGCCATTGCCAAGAGGACTCTCTCACAGGTTGTCACCCTCTAAATCTTTGAGAGTAGCAAAAACTCCAGGAGGGCCTTCTCTGCTTATCTTAATCTCCAGGCTGTTGCTGCTCTTTCAGACATTTGAGGCCAAAGTTTTAGGGCTTTAAACACTAACACAAACATCTTGAAGTAGGCTTGGAGGAGAATAGGCAACCAATACAGATGATTCACTGCAAGTTCTGCAGCACTTACAGCTTTTAAGGGGAATCCCACATAAATCAGCTTGCAATGGTCTAATCTGGGGGTTATCAGAGTATGGAGCATCTCCTGTTCACATCCCTTATGGTGTTTGTAAATGCAGGAGGACCAGAACTAGATTACTAGAGAACAAGCCCCCATTCAGATGCAGCCACAGTAGTACGAGAGATGCTTCTGCAGGTCACAAGTCAGAGTTGTTGACAAAATGACACAGCAAAATTGGCCTGGCCGAAATCACATGATCTTTCACACCACCAACTGGCAACCTCACTGGTGACCACTGTTACATCATTCACAAGCATCTTACAGCTGTGCACATATTTGTATACATGGCAGCAGCTTCCATGCCCCCACATATAAAGGGAGCCTTGTTCTGGTGAATGTCAAATGCTGAACACAACAAGTGATTTTGTGGGGAACCAACTTAACATTCCAAATGCAGGTGGGAAGTCAGTACTCACTAAGAGATCGTTCTGGATTTAAAGTGCTTGTTCTAAACCTTAAGCATGGGGTCAGGCCAGAACCCCAGAAAATCCAAAGCTTTTCCTGAGCCCCAGTAGCTTGCTTCTCACAGATTTCCATTGGCCCCCAAAATTAGATTCTCCATCCCCCAATAACCTCAAACCCTGAAGAAAATGATGTATAACTGATTGTCATGCAGAGGCAGAATAAGCCACAGTAAGTTGTTTTTATGCCACGATGACGTCTAAGCTGCACTAGTTTAATATACTCTCTGTCAGACTTCCCAAAATGCAGTCTAGAAAATTCCAGCAGCTTCAAAAGTGCAGCCACTAATTTGTTGCCCAATAGATTATTGACAACACACCTCTCCCAACATATTTTGGGACTCAATTCAAAGCACAGTTTTAGAGCTGTAAAGCTTTGGAGGTCTGGGTCCTGGTATTCTACGTTTGTTATCACTAGTGCTTTTGAGTATGTTCCTAATAAAAGGCAAAATATAGAGAACAGTGTTGATGGGGACCTTGTGGCCCTTCTGATGTCAGCAACAATCTGAGATTGTGGGAACTGTAATCAAACAACATCTGGAGGACCCACAGGTTCCCAACCTCTGATAGAGATTTGGAGATAAGAAGAGCATGTTTCCTGGAAGATAATTTGGATTCTTTTTCGGTGCAAAAAAGAGATACACCCTGACAGAAGAGAAGCTAGGCAGAGAGGTGCCCAGATTTCCCTGTACCTTAATGCTGACTGGCAGTATCAACCACTGTTTCATCCAATTACCTGGCGTCTCCCTTAATCTGTGAACTATGCCTACGGCTGGTAGTCTACATGCATGGACATGTGCAGAGTTCAGTATGTTTGGATAGCTCTGACAACCAGCACAACAGCCAAAGAAACTTGGAGGTTAAGTTCACGCCTGCAAGCTGGTCAACCCGCTTGTGTGTCTGTGGGATTCCTCTTGCACAAAGTCTTGGATAGCACCCTTGTAGCATCTTTGAAGTAACTGCCATTAATACTTGATGTCCCCCACCCCTGAGATCCTACACATTGGGGTGGCAAGCAGGGAGCTATTTGTCTACTCATCGTAAACCATTATTGGGAAGAACAACACACCTTTCACCCTAAGGTCCCAGGGCAGGTTACAACAATTAAACCCCAGTATTAAAAACTGTCATCAGTTTGTTTATAAAACCTGTGTCCTGGCAATTGCAGAGATCGTTTGAAACCCTGTAGGTACTGGTCACGGAATATGTCCCTTTACTCAACAGGATGGATTTTATAAGCCCATCAATTAGTGCCAAGTTTATTGCCCGTCCTTCTCCAGTAGGTCCCAAGGCAGGTTACAGCACTATAAAATTCAGTATTAAAAACAATTAAAACAAATTACAGTCATTTGGACAGGGTGGGTCCTGAAAGCACACATCTCACATTTCTAAAGCCAGGCTAAATAGGTGCATCATCAGCATCTGCTGAAAGCTGTGTAGCGAAGGTGCCAGGTGTACCTCTCTGTGAGGTGGGAATTTCACAACTCAGGGCCTACCACACATCCCAGGCTTATGAAGGGGGTGGAACTACCAAGAGGGCTTCCTCTGCTTATCTTAATATCCAAGATGGTGTGTAGGGAAGGATGCAGTCTCTCAGATATTTTGAGCATAAGTAGTTAAGGGCTTTAAATACTATTGTGAGTGCCTTGGATTGGGCCCAGAATACAACTGGCAACTTATGAAACTGTTTCAAAACAGGTTTGTTTGTTTTTTGCAAATTCCAAGTGGACCCCGGCCAGTAATCTAAAATTCGGACCATTTGAAATTTCTGTGTTGCCTTCAAGGGCAGCCCCACCTAGAGCACATTGCAGTAATCCAATCTGGAAGTTACGCTGTAGCTGGCAACAGAAACTCCCTCATAATTTCCAGTGCCTTCCAACAACCTACCTTTTCCATCTGACCCTGTGTCTATACACTTGCAAAAATGGTATTCAGAACACTACCTACTTCATCAAAGCCCATTTAAGCCCACTGATTCCAATTAACACGTATTCTTAACAATATCACTGAGTCAATGGCACTTAAAAATGGGATTGAGTGATGCCCTTGAACCAGCCTTCCCCCACCTGATATCTTCCAGATGTTTTGGACAACTGCTCCCATCAGCCCCAGTTATCACGGCCATGCTGACTGGGGCTGATGTGAGTTGCAATCCAAACATTTGCAGCTGTCTTAAACCATAACAGCATATTGTTCGATTTAAAGTTTGTCCCGAGTGAATTTTAGCTGTTTCCCATTTCTGTTTCCTTAGGTTCAAATGCAAGGAAATGCTGGATCAGATTATGTATCATGGCTCTCATAAAATGAGAAACACCATGTTTACATATATATTGTCCAAATACAAGTGACTGCAAGGAGCAGCCATCAAAGTGTGCTGTTTTGATGTAAAAAATTGTTTGAGCAATTGCATTCCATGCCCCCTTAAAAGTAGTTTCTGTACCTATTAAGCTCTTCTGTCACCATGCATGGCATGTGGTATAGATTGCATCGTTGCTTCCATTTTTATCTCTCCCTTTCATTAGCGATAGTGCATAATTTTTCCATTTCTACTTTCACATTGCAATATAGATACAAGGGAAAAAATGAACTCACCACAACCAGCTTTCCATCTTCTATTTTTCTTTTTATTGTGGTCTCTTTGCCATCCCATTTCTGCAACTGATTGAGCGACCCATTGTCTAATGTTACAATACTCTGCCAAGAAAAGAGTGACTATCTGGTTAGTGGATCCTAAATCATGTTAAACTGTAGTTAAGCAGCTTATTTGTGGTTTCACCCAATGCATGAACTGGCAAACCATGGAGTGATTGCCAAAGCACACCTCTCCAGAAGCTAAACCAGGGATAGCCAAGGTGGTACCAAAGCTTTTTGCTTGGCTGGATAGAAAGTAGAGATATGTAAATAAGGGAAGAGAGAGCATGTGGTTGGAATGTAGCCCACTAGACAAAAATCAGCACCACCTCCAATGCTCTTCCATTAGACCCTGCCAACCCCTAGAACATGGCCCCCAAACAGTCGTTGACAAGAGAATGGGGCCCTCAAGATAAGAAATGTTCCCCATCCATGGCCTTGGAAGTGCATACCAAAGGTTCCCATGACCATTAACTACTGCTTGATACCTTGGGCAAACTCTTCCTCCACATTCAGATGGAAAAATCAGTCCATCCAAATCTGATCTTTCAGATCCACTCCACCTCCCACACCACACTTCAAGTGATATCCATCCTGCACCACCAAGACTCGGATCAAATAAATTAAGAAAACAGCAGGACATACCTTTACTTTCCTGTCATCTGCTGTGGTCTCATCAAACGGTTCCCCCAGTTTGAAGGAAATCTCGGTGTTCTTTAAACTGCTCTCTGTTTTGATGGTTATAACATCTCCATTGCAACTGATGATCACATTGGGCTTGGCAATACCAGCCACCTTCCTGGTGGGAAAGCCCACACCTAGAAGCCAAATGAAACACTGTTAAGCTCTCAGCGTAAGCTGCTGGGTGTCTGAAGATCAAGGCAGTTAACTAGTCAGGGCAGTGGGACATCCCAAGCTAGGTCCTGAAGGATAACTTTAAGGAAAGAGTGGGGAAGATTTAAAAGCACAGCATGGGCAACCAAACATTTGTCCTGCTCAAGCTTCCCTTCTCTGCAACTATTCACACACACACACACCGGGGTCTACCTCTGGGCAGAGTGTAACTGGAAGAAACAGCGAGAGAAAAACTATTTCAGGAGAAGAGCATTGGTGGCAAAATGGAGAGTGAAGTGTTATGCATTCCCATGCTGTGGTATTGAGATAGTGCAGGACGAACATCTATCCAGACCAGGACGCCATGTTCTACAGTAGTCATGTGCCTTCAAGAGTCCCAAGCTGGATGTGTGCACAATAGCAATTTCCTGCTTGTGTTTCCCAGTGACATATTCAGATGACCATTGTGACCTTCTGAAGTGGTAACATATTGCCATCATGACTTGTAGCAATTGATAACCTTCTCCTCCATGAACGTGCCTAATCCCCTTTTATCCTGCTCTTTAAAGCTCAGTGTCCCAGCACTCTTCTTTTCTTTTGCTTCCAGAGCTTTCCCCGCAAAAAGCCTCTCTTTAAAGCTGAAGGGCAACAAATGACAATTCAGGTTTTCCGTGGAATGCAGTTTGCTCCAATTCAGCTTTAGAGAGTGGGTCTTCACGGAGAAAGCTCCAGAGCAAAAAAAAGAGTGTCTGGACATGAAACTTTAAAGTGTGGACCGCTTCTAGAAAGAGCAGAGGAAAGGCAAGCATGGGTAAGTCCCATACTGGTGGCCAGTGACACATCTCAGGGGAAAACTTGTTTACCACTTTTGAGTTCTTTGGAGATATAAATGCAATAAAAAACAAAAGATGGTAGCCAATTACAGAGTTTCATTTATGTACTACATAAACCATGCTCCCTGCTTTACGGTGCTTGCCACTATCCATTTATCCATTTCCAGTATGCTGGCCTTTCTGTTGTCAAAACCACACCACCCATGAATAAGAGGAGAGTATCAGCGAACTCATGGTAACCTTCCCAATGGTTGCAGAAACACAAAGTATTTTTAGGGGGGGGACTTAGGGGGTCCACCCCCATAAAAACCCAGCTCAATGAGGACTGAACGTGTTTACTGCTCATAAAATACCAGTTGAGCTCAGAAATGGGGGGGGGGGGGGGACTGAAGACTGAACAGGGGCGGGGGAGAATAGAACTGATGGAGAACAGGATGAAAATCACATCTGGGTACATAGGATAGAGGAAAACCACCTCATTGGATGGATATATCATTTCTGAGAAGTTACTTTCAAATGAACCCCAAAATGGACAGAGAAATCAAAGAGCGATGTAGCTAAACTGGCTACCAGTACTTCAATATCCCCCTACCCATGAAGAACCACCCCCCAGACCATTGGGGGCTGAGCATGTCCAGCGGGCACAGTTTAAAAGCAAGCGGAAAAGGAGGGGAAACACCACAGATTAGCTGGTTCATGAAGAGAAGCACTCCACACTGAAATATTTTGTTGGCAAGCGGCACTTATGGCTTTTCTTTCTAGATATCCCGCTGCTAAAATAGTGGCAACACTATTCAGGTAGCTATCAGTTCAGCAACATGATTAAATGGTAATGAGTAAAAAGGATTTCAATAAGTTTTTTAAAAAATGGCCTAGCACTATAAACACTTTAAGTAGATTTTTTGAATAGTCCCGTGTTACAGACCTTTTTCTAGTACTAGTTAAAAAACACAAAAATTAACAGATAAAAATAGTACCCTTGTAGCCTTTGTGTGGAAAATGGGCTGAGCTTACAATAGGTCTTACTACTTAATAAGCTTCTTTAGGATTACCATGCAATTTACTTGGAAATCATTCAAAATAACAATGTGGCACCTGCTTAACAAGCATGCATAGGATTATGCAACAACAACTTGATTTGAGTTACAGCATTCCATCCAGACTCTCACTTTATTAAAGAAGTCTAAATCCAGTAAACAAAGCAACTTAATGTTAAATTCAGAACTATAGAAAACTACTTGCAGAACAGCAGCTGATAATTTGTTTTTTAGTTATCAATGTGGGTGGGAAAAAAGGATTTTCACACATAAGAAAACTAAAGCAAAAAACTCAGCATCATAACCAAACCCACAAAAAATATTGCTTCCTACTTACCAAGTTCTTTCATATAGTCATCAAATTTTTCAGTGGAAACAAGCTTCCAAGTTCCCAAAAATTGTTCACACATGGTGTAGGATTAACTAAGTCTCCTGAGGAACTTCTTACAAGTTTAACTAAGCACCACAAAGAGCACAGCACCTCTACTATACAGCCAGATGATGACTTTAAAAAGAAACCCTGAGCATGTGACCCTCAAAAGATTAGCCAATGGTAACAGAGACTCTCAAGGACTCCAATTACCAGAGTTTCTTCCTTTCTCAGTGGGTCATAGTACTATTAGTCACTGCAATATAAATCACTGTATTGTCAGCACTTAATTATTGTGCTTGAGTGTCTGTGGCAATTTCTGCTGTTGCATCCTAATTAATTTTCCTGGTTGGGGAGGAAATATTGTAACCTTTATTCTGCATTGATTTAGTAATGACTCCTCTCCACCACATGATTACACACTCACAATTACTAACAGAGGAATCCTGTGCATGGTTCATTCAGAAGATAGTGAGGCCCACAGTGCTATCTTCTTCCATGACTCAGCAGCATAGAAATACTTGAGTTGTCTCAAATGGTGCGTGCCAAAACTTTAAATGCATGGTGATAGAAGAGCTGCTTTAGTTGCTCTCGGGTAGGTGGATCAAAGACTGTGATCTTCAAAGCTGCTCAGATGTGGCAGCTTGGATAATCAAAAGGTTCTTATTACAATATCATGTAAATGTTATGGGAGCGATTTTTGAATCAGAGTGGCTATGAGAAAATGAATGCAATCAACTCTCATGTCACACTGATTCACATTACAGTCCTGTGCGTGTCTATTCAAAAGTAAGACCGAATTCAGTTCAGAGGAATTTACTCCTTAATAAGTGTGTACAGGATCTAGCTACTTAGCTACTAAAGTCCATAGGCCCACTCATGGGTGAGTAGAAGTGCCCTCATACAGCTAGACCCTGTGCATTCTTACTCTAAACTTTGTCCCACTGAATTTTTAGCATGGTACTTACTGCATAGTAAGTGTGTGCATAGAACTGGAAGCTTAAACTGGCTTGTCTCCTTTAATTCACACTCAGTTCACACTCAGAACAGATCTGGTGAAATCAATGAACAAATCAAACGTGTCACTGATCAGATTTATGCCAGTCATAGGCAAACTTGGCCCTCCAGATGTTTTGGGACTACAAGTCCCATCATACCTCGCTAACAGGACCAGTGATCAGGGATGATGGGACTTGTAGTCTCAAAACATCTGGAGGGCTGAGTTTGCCTATTCCTGATTTATGCTGTTATGGACAAATGCAAATAGAAAAGGAAAGGAAGAATTGTTCTTGCTAGGGATGGGCAAAACTGTAATTTGGTTCCTCTCAATTTCTCATTTTTCCAAACCTACATGATTTTGCCAAATATGCATGCTTTGGCATGCAATTTCCCCTAATATAGATTTTTGTGTTGTTTCCCCTAATAAATGCATTTTTATAGTATATGATTATTATTATTATTTTTTTGGTACACAATACTGGGCTGAAGAACTGCACTGCAAAATCTGTAAATTTCAAAGGATGTCTGTGTTTTGGTTTGCACATTGTTTTGGAACATGCAAGTTAGGTAGCTTCTCCTTTATATGTGAACAGAATCTTGGAGAAGCCAGTTCCAGAGTTTGACGATGTGCTGATTGAAGCAGTCTTTGCTTTTGTCTTAGCGGCACCCTTAACGAAGTACAGTGCCTTGGATTCTTTAGGGAAATCCACGCTTGTTGAAATAGTTTCACAGTGCTTTCAGTGTATAGCACTGATGTTGCTTTACATCAACAGAGAGAACTTTGAGGCCGCCTAACAATATTAATCAACCTTTCACTCATTTTTGAAAGGAATCAGTCTTTTTTTTGAACTTTGTTCCTTCATTTCCTCCCTCTCGCTGGCTCCTAGCTTTGACTCTTGCTTCTTTACCCATTTAAGAGGGGAAATGAGTTTTCAGTTATACAGCTGGGCTTTTATAGAGGGAAATTATTCTATTATTCTTTGTGACAAGCAGCTCTTGTTTACGTGGCCCTTGGGAGAGCCTTACAGGAGTAGGGTTCTGATTTTTCTTTTTTCTTGGCAGGACTCCAGTGAATTTATCAGCTTCATGACGGGAAGAAAGCTTTTCTCATCATGAAGGCTGTGTACACACTACACATTTTAAAGCACCAAAACCCCCCAAAGAATCCTGGGAACTGTAGTTTGTTAAGAGTGCTGGGAAGTGTAGCTCTGTGAGGGTAAACAAACTGCAGTTCCCAGAAAGCACAGTGAGGGTGGTCAGATAAACACTTCACACATGAGGTCATGAGTTGCACATTTTCTTTATGTGATAAGGGTTGCACATACAGCTCCTCCATGTAAGCAGATCATAGAATCATAGAGTTGGAAGGGACCCTGAGGTTCACAATTCAAAGTGTTAGTGCTGACTTTTAAAGGCCTAAACGGCCTCAGCCCAGTATACCTGAAGGCGTGTCTCCACCTTCATTATTCAGCCTGGACATTGAGGTTCAGCTCCTAGGGCCTTCTGGTGGTTCCCTTACTGCGAGAAGTGATGCTACAGGGAACCAGGCAAAGGGCCTTCTCAGTAGTGGCGTCTGCCCTGTGGAAAGCCCTTCCATCAGATGTCAAGGAAATAAGCAACTATCTGACTTTTAGAAGACATCTGAAGGCAGCCTGTTTAGGGAAATTTTTAATGTTTGATGTTTTATCGCTTTATTATTATTATTATTATTATTATTATTCTGTTGGGAGCCGCCCAGGGTGACTGGGGAAACCCAGCCCGTTGGGTGGGGTATTATTAAAAATAATAATAGATCTAGTTCAACCCCTGCAATACAGGAATATGCAGCTGTCACATAAAAGGATCAAATCTGAAACCTTGACGTTATCAGCACCATGCTCTAATCAGCTGAGCTATCCAGGAGCTCCACACATGTATTTTGGCGGACAATGTGTGCCAAGTATGCAGATGGTGGGCACATGACTGCCACATGTATTGCCAGTGTAGGCATGGTGGCAACAGAGGGGGCTAGCCCACACAGCCCTCTCCCGTCATTATTTGAATATAAACTCCCCCAGTTGTAATGGGCAGAACTTACCAATTCTGCCTCTTCTATGCTTTCCTAACATTCAGGCAGTGGTGACTGAAGCTCAAGGACTTCGGTTTATGGTATTTCATATAGGGCAGCTGTTGGAAAGGTCTTGTCCTTTCTGCCTTCCAGAATCTACCACTGCGCAACATCATTCACAACCCAGCTACTAATGCACATGAAAGTAATTTATGAGTCAAAAGTTGAACTCAGTACTTTATGCAGGTACATAAACCTAGCTTGGCATGGACTGGGAGTAGGTGGCAAGTCATGCCACAATGTTCCAGACATCTAAACAGGCGTTGCAAAGATTGCTTCCTGGAAAACAAGTCCGCTGGGCAAACCAGACTCCTGCTTGTTCCTTAAAATGGTAGGCTGGAGTCATACTCATCTTGAAGCTCTGTAGCAACTCTTGTTGTTGTTTTGTTGTTATGTTGTTTCAGGACTGATGGTTTTCTTGGACTTAATCTGAACTGAGGCTGATTTCAGGCATGATTTGCAGCTAAGCTTTGCTAATACAATGTCCAAGATCTTTAAGAGTTCTAAAAACTCTGCTAGTCAATGTCCTGTTGAATATTATTCTAAAAAATATAACTAATCGTTCTGTAAGAACTGACATTAAACCGCCTACAGCTAAGAAAAAGGAACTTCACAAAGTTTGACCTTCATCTTGGAAAAATTGATAAACAGCAGGAATACACTGAAGACGTAAACAAGACATTTTCTGCTTAGACTGGAGATACATTACAACACAAACTCAGGCGTTTCCTTTTTCCTGGCTATCAGGATTTCTATCCTACAGCTGCTTTGTATTTGACGTTCCTGCTTTTAATTACAAGTAATTAGGAAGGGCAACATTGTTGCAGGCTTCCTCTTGAACAGTTCAGCAAATGAGTTAGATTGCCTTTGCTACTGCAAGATGGTTGTCAGTCTAGCTTAAAGTTGACAGAAACTTTATAGTACAGAGGCACAGAGACACCACAGGAGATCAAACTACCAAATACAGTATGCAACTTTCATTGGTATCATCTTACAATGTGGCAAATATTGCAAATATCAGATGCAAACAAATGGGTGATAAAAGGAGTTGAAGTTTCCTTGTTCTAACTGACCCTCTCCTTTTTTCAACTTTATACACAGTAGTAGGCAGAAATTCAACAGTGGCATGAAGTATTCCCACAGCATGGAGAAAGGTAACAGCCACAAGGGACACTGTAATAGCTAAGTCATTGCTGGTGTTAAAAAGGTTTGTTTGGACTGTTTTGTGTCAAATGGATAGCTTTTTACATCAACACTGCATCAGTTGTGCATCCAAACTTGGCCTGCTTCTTAAATGAATGCAGGAATGTTTTTAGTAAAGCAGGTTTTCCAGCTACTCAAATTCCCCATCAGACACTCCACACTAATAATTAGAAGAAGAAGCTGAACTAACATAAAGGGTGTTCTGCTCCTTGCTTACACCCTGTATCTGTGGCAATTTCTCCATAATAGTCAGTGCTTATTTACTATACAGTGAAGATTCATTTATGATTCTGCCTTAGTTCATTAACTAACAGGCACAAAAAGGTGGACTTTGAGACTATTTACAAAGATGTGAAAAGTGCTACCTGCCCAAAGATGTAGGTGAAGAAGAGAATGTTCTGGCCCAAAAGATGATGGTGCTTTCACATAGTTTAGGCAGTTTGTTTTTAAGCATTCTGCCCTATATTTATGTACATGTGGTCCCTGACGTTGGGTCATAATCCCCACCCCCTGCCCATTTTTCCAATTGCCAATTGCTTTCTAACTGCACATTTTTCCAGCTCTAAATTTTGCATCCAATTGCACAGTGGAAGTTATTTTCTCTTTCATTTATTCTGCTTTGACCAAAGTGTAATCGTCGTGGTTTCCTTCTGTGGAAATGCAAAGGTCTTTCCTGGCTGGTAAGGAGCAGTAATGACCATTTTATCTCACACAGCTTTCTTACTAACCTTCAATACTTCCAGAGCAACTTTCTTTGCTAATGCATGTATTATTTGAAGTGCACTGACACGCAGGGGCCAGAAAGCAATTTTAGCTTTGCTTCCCTGCTGCGTTTTGTACCGGACATTTTTTTATCTAGCTGCACTTTTCAGTCTATTAGAGGACTATACCATGTGTCATGGCTGTTTGGGGTGGGTGGGGAGAAGGAAAGGGAGAGATTTAATAACCGGATTGAAATTTCACTTCAGGGTGAGATTTAAGACACATATGAGGATACCCTCGTTAGCTTACAGGCATTTAACCTGCCAACGCTCTGTACTACTAACACAAAGTTTCTATCCGTCACCTTTCTAAAATGTCACCTACCCAGAAAGCAAAAGTCCTTGGGACCCTTTTGACCCTGGAAATATTTCAGGTTTTGAAGCCATAAGACTGTAGCACCGAGTTGGCGATCTCAGTATTAAGGATAATATATCTGTATAGGTAAGCTGCGAACTTTTAAAAAAGGTTTCTGGGGAAACACTGACCTTTTCAAGTACATGATTTGCTTTGATTGAAATCGCTTCTATCTATCTACTTATCTTCAAGCACTTTTCTTTTCCATGCTTTCGGGATGGGCCCACCACCTTCCTGCACCTCTACCCCAGAACAAGTTTTCTACTCAAGCTACATAACAGGCAGAAACCCAACAAATACTACTTTCCTCCAGTATATGCATGCAACTGACAGGGGGGATCCTCACCAGTTGAATTACTGCCTGCTATACAGCTGCTAAAGGGAGAGAAGACCCAGTAAAAAAAAAAGGATCATTTGCAATGATTCAGGCCATGTGTGTCTATAATGTGGCCTGATTTTTAGAAGCATTGTCCTCTCTTTGAAGGAGCCCTCAGTGTGGAAAAACTCTGATCCAATGCCAGTTTAAAGATAAAGAACCATTAACAGAGAAAGGAAGGACCTGGAAGAGGCCCGCAGGCCATTAGGGTTGCCAGGTCAAGGGCATCCCAGACCTGGAGATTTCAGGGCCCAAACCTGAGACCTAGGGATGGGCCCTGGCCATGTTATGACAGGATGCCCCTGGTGATGTCACGAGGACAGGCCCTGGAGAGGGAGTGAGGAGCGGAGGAGGACAGACCACACAGAGTGTCAGTGCTATAATTTGCAGCTAGCTTCTGCCAGGCTGAAGAGTGCCAGTTGCGTGCATAGTCCATCAGGCCCAGAGGAAAAGTGTGAGCAAATAGATGAGTGAACAGCAAGCAGTGCTGCTTCCTGTTTTCCTCCTCCTCCTTGAACATTGGGCCTGAAGAGTAAGAGGCAGCAGGAGGAGGAAAAAGTGCTGGCAGTGAGGAGAAGCATCATCACAGACCCTCCAAGTGTCCCTTTTTTCAAGGGATGTCCCTGATTTAGAGAAGCCGTCCCGGTTTCTGATTTGATCCTGGAATGTCCCACTTTTCCTTAGGATGTCCCTATTTTCATTGGAGAAATGCTGGAGGATATGGAGTTATCCGATCCCCAAGCTTCCTCTATAGGGAAGTTTTTTAAAAAAAATGTTTACTGTTTTATTGTGTTTTTATGTATGGTGGAAGCTGCCCAGAGTGGCTGGGGCAAGCCAGTAGGATGTGTGGGGTATAAATAGTAAAATTATCACTATGGACTGGGACGTCCCTATTTTCATCGGAGAAATGTTGTAGGATATGTCATCAGTTGATGAGAGATAGTAGTGAACCCCTAGGCAACCCAACTATTTAAAGGCCTAAATGACTGAGGCCCCAAATATTTGAGATGCCCTCTCAGATCAGCAGAGGGACCTTCTAGGTAGTCCCACCACCCTTATAAGTTTGGCAGGTGGCAGCCCAGGAGACGACATTCTGTAGCAACTAACTCCCTGTCTGAACATGCCAAGGGCATAAAAAAATCTGGAGCTGGCCCGCCAAAAGCTACCTTTTCCTACAAAAAATTATCATCATGTTTTCCCATACAGCAGTACTCACGAAGATTTTCTCCCCATCACTCTTACGTAATGGTTGAGCAGTTCTCAGGAACCTGGAAACTCATCTCTAGTGAAAATTTTGATGAATATATGAAAGAACTGGGTAAGCAAACATTCTGTCACAAACTAGGGGCTTATCCCCTGGGGGAAATGGCTCTTTAGCATTCAATCCAAGGAAACGGCAGATTTTCTCTGGATTGATGTTTGCTCTGATTTAGCACTAAAGAATAGGTTTTCCCTGGGAAAGGAGTGGGGCAACAAGAAAACTGTTCAGAATGAGTCTGAGGCACTTTGGCTTAAAAGAAATACTGTTTAACAGAAAATAGATGTTATCATGGACTAAATATCTTAAATACTCTCCTCCCACTGTTTTTATGTAACTGGCAGATGGAGAATCAGAAGTCCTTTTTATTTTTCTCTAATGTTTCTTTTCCTTTTTTCCCTTTCCTTTTTCTATTTTCTCTTTCTCTCTCCTTCCATCTTCTTGTTTCTTTCCCCTTTCTTTGTCTCTGTTTTTTGCTTTCTACTTCTTCTTTTGGGTCATATTTTTGGGGCCTTTGTTAAGGTCCAGGGATTGTGTACTCATGGGGTTGGTAGATGGTTGAGAGTGGCCCTAGGTGAGAGACAGGGTAATGTCAGTCTCCCAAGGTGAAATTTTGTTTTCCTTCTCATCTGCAGGAGTAGCTTTTGCCCAAAGGAAACTGGCCAGCCTAGCCAAACCCACCATGATCATCACCACAGACAAAGATGTAGCCACCATCAGAACAGAGACTGTCTTTAAAGTTGCTGAGATTTCCTTCAAGCTAGACCAAGAGTTTGAGGAAATAACAATGGATAACAGGCGTGCCAAGGTGAATATTATTGTTTCCCCTAGGAATGGTTCCCATGGTGGGAAGTGCAGTATCTTGACAGAGGGGTCTGCTAATAATCAGAACTTCAGTTAGATAAATACAGTATATTCCTGTTGGTGGGGGAGAAGAAAGATAGCAGGTAAAACCAAAAATTCATCTCCTTATAACTCTTACTTTTATCATTATTTTTAAGAGCATTATAACAAGAGAGAATGACACTCTGATTCAAGTGCAGAAGTGGAATGGCAACGAGACTATCATCAAACGAAAAATAGCAGATGGAACTATGGTGTTGGTAAGCTTTTTCCATTTCATTCATACATCCATGTGACCAGGGGAAGGACCATAGTCCAGTGGCGGAAGATAGGGCTGCCATATGTCTGGATTCTGTTGGACATTACAGGGATTTCAAAGGCGGAATTGACATTTGGGGGGGGAATATAGCAACCCTATGGAACATTCAAACAGTTCCAGGTTCAATCCTGAGTATCGCCAGCTAGGGCTGCTAAGGTCCTCTGTCTGAAAAGTCCCTGCCAGTCAGTGTGAGACAGAACTGAACCAGATGGACCAATGGTCTGATTATGCAGGGCAGCTCATTACATTTCACCCGGGGTTTTAAGGCAGTCAGTTCTGTTGTTGTTGTTGTTGCTGCTGTTGCTGTTGCTGTTGCTGTTGCTGTTGCTGTTGTTGTAAGCCCTCTTGCTTAAAGTTGCAGCAATCAAGGCTGTAGTGTCAAGAGCCAAGGATAATGCTATTCTTCCCAATCAAGTTGATTTCACCAGTACTAGGACATAGTATACCTTCCCCGCCCATCAGACTGGAGCATGGAAGGAGAGAGTGGAAAAAAATAAGAAGAAATTGGGAAGAATAGCATTCTCCTTGGCTCTTGACACTACAGCCTTGATAGCTGCATTGTATTATGACAACCACCCTTCTGAAGTTAACAAATTGCTATTCTACCCCTATGTCCTTTCTGTGAGGCAGTTACAGAAGGAGTGAGTAGACAGCCCCCAAAGTATATGAGGAAGGGTAGGATTCGTGTGTCTGTGATTTCAACAGCATGTGCAGGTCTGCTGCTTGGACATAAGCTATGGTTTAATGTAACATGCAAACTGGGCCAGTGTGACTGGCAACAGCATCACAACCCCACACATAGAAACAACTGAGAAGACACCAGCATTGCTATAAAGATGATTGACGACTATGGATTGTAACCTATTATTTTTTTCATTTGCTAGGAATGTATCATGAATGACATCATTTGTATCAGAGTCTATGGAAGACTGTGAAGACATTATCTTTCCATTTCAGCTTGTTTTTCCTACAGCATATTAGTTTAGCGTTACAAAAATGAGCACAGCGCTTATGTGGAACTGAAATAAATAATTTCAAGGAATTGGCTTAAAGGAAGCTGCTTCAGTGACAGCCTTTCATATCACTCATACTCAGTCACCCGCACACACAAACACATGCCCTTTGAACAAGCTTACTTTGCAAAATTGATCACAATTCCTTTTTGCAAACTAAGTTTCTTACAGTTTCATGCATGTAAGAACATTCTTAATTGCAAAGGTTTATTTTGCATTTCAGCATTTTCCTTTCGGACACACCAGTTTCCAGGAATATTTGCACCAGAATGCAAATCAGTGTAGGGGCAGTGGCTGTAGCTTACCAGATTCGGATGGAATGTGTTATTGAGCAAGAAGTCCCTTTGAAGTCGGGCTGTATAATAAGCTACTTACCCAAATCTGGCTGTGAACTGCAGCTGTTGATTAAAGAGTTATGATAATATACTTAGGGTATCCAATAAAGGCTAACTTGAAGTTAAGTCCAGTGGAGTTTGCAGTTTACATTTTGGGATGAAAAACACGCTAGGGAGAATTTAAATAAGAGGCAATCCATATATTCCAAACAGCAGACAATCAAGTACTTCCCCAACTCTGAACATACATAAATCCCACAAAGCTTGATGCATGAAAAAAGCTAGCACATTAGGGAGGCACCTAGGCCAATATCAGTTTTCCAAGTACAGAGTGCTTTTCTCTCCTCTGTACATACAAGTCCCTATGCTAAATTTAAAGTAGTACAGTTGTACCTCTGCTTACATTTCCCTCTGGATATGTAATCTTTGGGATGCAGACGTGGCAAACCCATAAGTATTTTTCCGTGTTTTGTCTTGTGCGTATGCGCAGAAGCGCTCTACGTGCCGCGCGCATGCACAGAAGCGCTAAACCGTGCTGCACGCATGCCCAGAAGCAGTCCTCCAGTTGCAAATTCCTCGGGATGCGGCCAGACCTCCGGTACGGATTCTGTTTGCAACCAGAGGTACCACTGTAGAGATAATAATGGGGTACTTGCTGCTATAAAGGTAAAAGGTAAAGGACCCCTGGATGGTTAAGTCCAGTCAAATGCGACTATGGGGTGTGGCGCTCATCTCGCTTTCAGGCCGAGGGAACCGGTGTTTGTCCACAGACAGCTTTCCGGGTCATGTGGCCAGCATGACTAAACCGCTTTTGGCACAACGTAACACCGTGATGGAGCGCACAGAAAGGCCATTTACCTTCCCGCCATAGCAGTACCTATTTATCTACTTGCACTGGTATGCTTTTGAACTGCTAGGTTGGCAGAAGCTGGGCTAAAGCAATGGGAGCTCACCCTGTCGTGTGGATTTGAACCGCTGACCTTCTGATCAGCAAGCCTAAGAGGCTCAGTGGTCTAGACTACAGCGCCACCTGCTCCTGCTGCTGCTATGGTATCTGGCTGTATGCATAATGCACAGAACTAATGCATAAAAACATAAGAGCCCTGCAGGCGCAAGCCAAAGTTCCATCTAATGCATCATTCTTGCAGTGGCGAACCAGATGTCCTCGGGATGCTTGCAAGCAGGACTTGAGTGCGAAGTATTCTCTCCCCAGTTGTGACTCCCAGCAATGGGTATTCAGAGGCACACTGCCTCCTCCATCCACTGCCTTGATGGCCTACAGTTCTAGTGACTAAGATACTGAAGTAAGACCTGTGGGATAAATCCAACCTCATATAACCAACATGCTTACCTCAATTTAAGGCATTAAGGGGTTAAACCCACAGAGTAAGAAATCTTGCCAGGATTGGCTAGTCCACACACCCTCTCACCTTGAGAGGGTTACCAAATTTTCCTCAACAAAACTAATAAATGAAATAGAAATTAAAACAGGATTATTAACTACCGTTAGACCCTCAGGCTACATTATTTGGATATTGTTATCTGTTCTTTGCCAGCAGGTCCTAAGGTGAGCTACCACAATTTAAAATCCAGCAATTAAAAACAATTAAAATTTAATTTACAGGAATAGGGGATTAGAAAAGCATTTCCTCCCTTCTGTTACATAAGCTATTTTGGGGATATGGGCAATTGTAGCCTTCCAGCTTCTCTTGACCTTGTAGCTCCATTTCCCACCGTAGCTGGATCAAATTTTTCAAGAATCTCTTATTTAAGTAAAGCATTATTCCGCCGCAGTCTGAGTTGGTGGGAAACTGATAATCCGTATGCTTGCCGGTGTGTAGACCAGCCTTCCCCAACCTCGCCCCCATCAGATGTTGCTCATCATTCTTCACCATTGGCTGTGCTAGCTGGGGCTGATAGAGGTTGAAGTTCAAAACATCTGGCAGGCACCTGGTTGTCCTCAGCCCCTGGCGTACCTGGTGGCAAGTCCCCACTGGTGTACGCAGTCCCAAAAAGTACAGTCCTGAATTGCTTCTGGAATATCCAAGCCAAGGCCCCTCCTCATGGGAAGTCCACCAGACACAGAACCTCACCTCTGCTTCCCATTTATCCCTTGCATGCTGATTGCAGCTTCTAGGCTAGATGAGGCATGTGACCCTCACCTGTTCCAAGCCTACTCCAGCTGAGGAATCACAACCTTCTCCCAGAGCTGGTGAGCTCCATCTGATCAGCTCATGAGCTGGGCTGTGGGCCCTTGCTGGCCTCGGCCTCCTAGAGCACACTTTCCACTGCTCCCTATACCTCAGAGCCCGCCGTGTTCATGGAGGGGGGGGGCTCAGGCTCCGGCAATGGGCCCTGCTTTGGTCCTTTACACCAGCACCAACCCCCTTGCTGTCCGCTGTCACCCCATGAGTACTTTCTTTCTTTTTAATTTTTTTATTTCCAAAACCGAAAAAAGAAAAATTACAATAGCTGGTTACAATACCAACAAGTGGTTCAGAGATTTAATCAGGATAAAAAGAAGGGCTTTGAACAAAAAGTGTCAAAATTACAAAGTGAATTAATAAAACCTAAAAAGAAGAACATCTCTAAAATGTACAATTTGCTGTTAGAGTGGGAATTGAAGGACGAAACAACCAAAGAAGTAATAATAAAGCGGGCAAAGGATTTTGGTCATACAATCCAACTGGAAAATTGGGAAAGGTTGTGGAAGGTGGATATCAATTTCACAACCTTTTACACGATAAAAGAGAACATGATGAAAATGTTTTACCGCTGGTACCTTACTCCAGAAAAATTGGCTAAGATTTACAAAAAGCAGTCAAACTTATGCTGGAGATGTAAGAGGGAGGTGGGAACCTTTTATCACACATGCTGGGGATGTAAAATTGTAGGGAAATTTTGGAACGCAGTATATGAGGAACTGAAAAAATTATTCAAGATTTCATTTGCCAAAAAGCCATACTTTCTATGCCCCTGACCTCTCCTTCTCCACCCCCAGCTTGCCTCGGTATGTAACGGTCACGGCTACACCTCTCACCTGGATCCTCTTTCCCCTCTCCATGGTCCTGCCAGTTCATGACACTGGTAGAAGAAAGCTGGAGTCAACTTTCTGGTGCCTGCTAAAGAACACAGGAAGTTGTCTCATAGTATTAGTCCAACCAGCTCTACGTTGTACCTGAAGTATCTGAAGAAGTGTGCATGCACATGAAAGCTTATACCCAGAACAAACTTAGTTGGTATCTAGAAGGTGCTACTGGACAATTTTTTATTTCAACTGCTCTTTCCACAGTAATTATCTGCTTTCTGTTTAAAACTTTTTAAGTGTATGGTTTTATATATACTTTTTGTAAACCACTTATATTTTTAATGTATATAAAATATAAGTATATAAATATTGTTATGAATAAATAAATAGACATAAGATTCTTGGTTCTAACAAAACTGGAACCCAGTAGTAATGGAATATTCAACGAAATAGTTAAAGCTCAATTGAATATATGAAAAGAAACACACACACAATTAAATCCATCCATAACCCACAGATATATTTGGTGGAACATTTTCTGATTTTTTTAAATTTATTTTTTTGCAGAGGCATACAGTTGCTATTTTGTGAGGTTGTCTTTCTTATTTGCTTTGTGTTGTGTTATGTTCTATAAACAAAATAAGTAAGAGGGTTAAAAAAAACACCACCCCAAACACTGTTTGGATCTAATCCTATATGTAGATATAGGTTAATTACTCTTGCCAAATGGAAATTGTTAATTTCAATGTGACATTGAGGCATATGATGTGAGCATGTCCAGTGATATATATATTTTTTTGGTCTGTAGTTATTGTCTGCATTCATTTTGTATTGCACAAATGCTTTTCGTTTGGAGATGTTCATCTACTTTTAAATTAGATTCCTGTGAGGACTAATGGCGGGACAAAGATGGATTTTGCAAGCCCTTGTGGCTGCCAAGAGGCTTGTACTTGAAGCCTGAAATGACACAGAACACCCACCATCTATTATGCAAAGATCCAGGGACTTTACTGCCCTTGCTACGTTTGAACACATTTCTTATAAATTCTAATTTCCTTTGGATATGTATCAGGGTATTTTGATAACCTATATTGACTTGCATGTTTAAAATGAGATGGATGTATTGGTCGTCATTGTGTTATTGTGAGCTGATGTTTCTTGTTGAAAAAGAAATGGTTAATTGCACAGATGAGAGCATCACATTTCATGTAGAGTTGCCTATGAGGCCGTTGCAACTCTAATCTCTTCGCTAAGTCCTTTACCCCAAACAATTTTTCAAGGATGGGGGAGGGAGGTGGTACCAGCTAGTGCCCAGCACAGCTGGAAAAAATACCATTGCTTATCAGCTAGTATTTTTCAGCCCGTTATCTCTCTTAGCCATAAACATCATCCAGTTTTATTCTGCTGATAACAATCTGAGTAAAGTTTATATAACATTTTAACTAAAGCTTCCCTTCATTTTGCAGACATTAACATGTTGCTTTTTTAATGTAAGTGAAGATTACGTTATATGACATTGTGAAATCTGTGGAGGGATGTCTGGTTTGAGATACAGGACTGTACACTTTTATATGTGAACGTCTACAAGACAGCACACTTGGAAAAGTATGTGAAATACAGAGCAAAGATAGCTGAGCTCCCCCCGAGGGAAAAAAATCCAAAGGCCATCATCATAGGGCAATTCCTGATATCAGACCTTTACTCTGTGTGAGACTTGGAAAATACTGAATTTAGCCAGGCAACAGCAGGATCCTAAACCACCCAAATAGGGGATCTTATTCTCTGGAATCAATCCCTCTAAGTAAAGCTATCTGGCTTTTATTACCTGAGGGATGTCAACAGCAACAAACTGATGTACAGCCAAAGAGACAATGTGTTTGCCCATTTGTTTTAGAAATGTGAACATACCATATTGGTGCATTAGCATAAGTGAGAGTATATTAGTAAGAGGAAGCAATGTACAGCATTTTAACTTGGGGAAATGAGTCCCTCTACTGGCTGGCTAACAACTATACAGGACACTTCATTTTCAGCCATGCCTGATTTAATAGTGATGCAACTCATGCAAAGGAATACGTATTAGT